CTTTCCCCCACCTACCCTTCTCCCAAGTCCCCCTGAATAGTGGATCCCATTGTTTTCTCCTCCAGATTGTTTATCCCGCCTATCTTATCTAGATAGACCTGCAGAGATAATGATATGCACAGAAACAAGATAGAGCAAAACAAAGCAGCAAAAGAAAACAAAACAACAATAACAAACCAATGACAAAAAAGAGAAAAGCCTGTAAATAGTTCAAGGTCTGCTTGTTGACCTTTAGGAGTGTTTTCCGTTTGGGTCTGATGGGGTGCTACACCCTGGCCCCAAAGTCAATTTTTGGTATTTCCTTGGTATTTCCTTGCTTTGCTCCCCTTGCTGCTCTGTTACACACCCTGAATGTTTTGCCTTCGTGTGGTGGGGTCAGATCGGGCACAATTCCCACACTATGTCTCCAGTGTTGTCCCCTATAGGGCTATGGATCAGTGAGGGATGTCATGTCTAGTAGTGGGGCAGGCCATATGGTCCTCTCTGTGCATTGGCTGTTCTTAGCAGGAATATCGTCCTCCAGGCTTGGTGGGCCAGGATGTGCTCCACTCTCTCTTCCTCCCTCTTCATTTGCTCCCATGTTCTCTAATCAGACATGTCCCTCTCACCGAGCTGTAGCTTCAGCGCTGTCCTCTGAAGCGAATTCTTCTGGTGGGAAAGGTGGCTGTCCACGTAGTCAACTTTCTATTGAGGAGACAGTTTGTCCCTAGTTATATTTTGAGGTATCATCAAATCTGAGGGCCTCATCTTCTGACACATCAGGTAATGTTCCTCTTATGAATATAATATATTCATAAGCCATTAAAAAAAGAATAGTAGTTACAGGCCCTTCTTTCTAGTCTATCTTAGCCTAGAAGCTCCAGTGAAAACTTTCCACCATGGGTCACCCTGATGTTATTTCAAATATCAGTGGCAAAGCTTCCAGTATCACAGCTACATGCAGGCTATAATAGTACAATATGGTGACAGATGAATGGTGATGCCAACAGATGGGACACTCAAATTGTATGCATTCTGAGATCACCCCAAAACCATGGAGTGGTGCAAATGGTTATGTGCTCAGCTATTAACCAAAAGGTTGATGATTTGAATCCAATAAGATGTACCTTGAAATAAAAGCCTGGCAGTTAACTTCTAAAAAATTGCCCAAACCTGCCTAACTCATTTTGACCACAGGGATCCTGTTGGATAGAGTAGAATTGCTCCATTGGGTTTCCAAGGCTGTAAATCTATAGAAAGTAGACTTGTAGATTTTTCTCTGATGTGTCAGCTGGTGGGTTCAAGTTACTGACCTTCAATTACCAGTCAAGCACTAAACCACTGCACCACCAGGACTCCCTGAAAAAATTACAGCCATTGAAAAAAAAAAGTCCTCTGAAGCATAGTTCTGTGACACACATTTGATTGGAATGAGTCAGAATTGATTAGACAACAGCATTTTTTTTAAAACACAAAACTCTGAGATCAACAGGAAGCAGTTGAAGTCATTAAAAAGGAACCAGGCACACACTATCACACAAACTAAAAATTCTTGGAACTCAGATTTAATATTAAACATCACTACCCAGCCACTGATAATGAGACCTTAGACAACAAATTACAGTTGTAGAGACCACTGTACGAAACTTCACTTGTTAGGGTAAGGATTTTATTGCTTTGGGGCCTTAACATGTTGACTTTAGTTTCAGGTGCTTATACATGTTATGTCCTCTACTTGTCTACTCAATTCTCATTCATGCCTAATCATTGTAACTTTTCAAAGGGGAAAAAATCTATTCACACAATTCTACATATAGTGTAAGACTCTCAATACACACTCTCTCAAAGCACTCTGCCCTACTTCAGAGCACATCACAAATTGTAATTAAACAATGTGTGTGTAATCTCTCGCCCTTGCTGAAGTGGAAGTTTTGTGGACTCAGGATTGTTTATCTTATTTACTGTGGTATCCTAACAAGCTTGTCCATATAGTCTTACTCATAGCAAATGTTCCATAACTAGTTGTTGAGTGAATGAATGGTGATCTGTCTCTTGACATTGGTGGAAAGATTATTAGGTAATGCCTTTACTAGTGACTACAATGAAAAAAAGTAAGATCAATCTGTTTTAACTTTATTCCTCCTTCTCTATTTCATTGGTGTTTGACAGATATAATCACTTTCCTGTTTTCTTCTACAGGCCCCAGATTGTTTATGTCCAGGCAAGGAATCATAATTTGAGGATTGGGAGCATGGGAGGGGTAGGACGGAGAGGAATCACCACTATAGGGATAACAGCTGAATAAAAGAAAGGAGTCATTTATTTTTAGGGTCTTGTGTTAGTCTGGGTACATTAGAGAAACAAATCCACAGAAACTCATATGGTTAAGAGAGAGTTTTATATAAAGGGTAAGTACACATAAAGAAAGCATCCCAACCCAGTGCTGCCCAAGCCCATATGTCCGACACCAACCCACAAAGTCCTCCTCCATCTCAGAAAACACACACTATGACACCGACTGCAGGAGGAAAGGCTAATCAGTGAGCACGTAAGCGCTGGCAGGGGTCTGCACATGGCTGCTCCAGCACCCAGGGCTGCATCGGGGTAGGTCCATGCGGCTTCTTCTTGAGGGTGTCTTGCAGGAAGTGAGCCTTGCCAGTTGACGCAGGGAACTGGCTGAGGCAGCGGCATCCTGGGGTGACCATCAGAAAGCAAGAGACCGTAGAACTAGAAAGGTGAGGTTCACCGAGC